CCTGTATGAATGTATGAGTGTCTGTGTATATGTGTGTGCGTGTGTGTATTTATGTATCTATGTATGTAAATAGCTATGTATGTATCAATGTATGTGTGTGTGTAAGTGTGTGCATGCGTGTATTTATGAATCTATGTATGTAAATAGCTATATATTATAAAGGTATATGTGTGTGTAAGTGTGTAAGTGTGTGTACTTATGTATCTTTGTATGTACAGAGCTATGTGTGTATGAATGTGTGTGTGTATGTATGTATGTGCATGTATCTATGTAAGATTCGGTCTATTAGCGCGATATTAACGCCTTAGAGTAAATATACGTGTAGGTAAATTCTAAGTATTGTGAAAATATCAAAGATAATAAACGAAATGAGACGTTTAGTAAAGTTAGGTATGCCTCGTGAAAAAAGCAATACTCTGAGGGATTGTGAGGCTGAGACATTGCCTATATATAATCCTCTCAGTACTGTTTCCGCCGAAGGGATTTTATTTAGTGTTTCGTTGTCGCTCTATTCTGGGGCGAATCCGAGAGACTCATAAAATCCTATTTTTAGAAAAAATAAATATAAATAAAAATACTCTTGACGTCATTAGTTATTGTCTTCACCAATAGCTTGCCATTATCAAGAATTACCGATTTAGCCTTCATCAGACTGACACATCTGGTTGGCTTATCAGAAGATCAACTAGGTAAAGTTAATAGTCCCTAGAAACCTATATTCGGTTGAGCCATCTCTCTACCGAAGTATTCAGAGATAAATAAAGTTGGAAAGTAAATAAAGTATTATTAATAGAACTAGACCAAATCTTATGTTTGGTATTTTACTGGGCCTTTTAATGGCCTTGTCCAAATATCTGATATGTAAAATGAAAAAGGTATTAATTAATAAAACCATTAAAACCCATTTAGGAAACTTAAGTTCCTTATACTATTAAGAGTACATTAAGGAAACTTAAGTTCCTCGTACTATTAAGAGTACATTTAGGAAACTTAAGTTCTTCGTACTATTAAGAGTACGTTTATAACATAGAGTCTAATGTGGAGGTCCGGCTTATTACAGCTACAGAGAAAACACTAAATCGGTGGTATTGGTAGCGGTAGTCTCTTTTGTATCGTTGCTCACGTGTACGGTAGCCACGATCTGACTCAGGTCGGCTATACTTGTCATTATTCTTGGACACAAATCTGTAGTCTCTCATATCGTGACGAGGAACACAATCTGTCGATCGTAAGGTTTGTGACCGTCGTGGTCACGACCCTGATTACGTGATTTACCAGCAACGCACGATTTGATTAACGCTTGTAGCTTACGGCATTACCCGATGGGGGATGTCCACAATAGTTGCACATTGCACAATTTCCTGTCTATATAGTTGCATGTGCACCGTGCACAATGATTGATGGGTCACCTTCGTCTGGATCCAATGCGATGAGATAAGTCGTGAGCATCATACGGTATGGCCATCTAAACAGGTGTCATCAACGTAATCGTACCAGTCTCATTATCGTCGTTTACAGCCTGCCGTAGGCTGCCATTGGACTTCGAACCTCAGGCGTTTCTTGAATTTCACAAATGACGTGTTGAGACGACTGATAAGACTAGCGTAAAATTCATTTCGTTCTTGCGTGATGCGGTTTAGTTTCCCTTCTAATGTCTCGATATCATCTTTGGTCAGGGATTCAAACTTGCGTTGCAGTGCGGCAAAAGCTTTCTGCGGCTTATCAAGAATTAGCGGATCTCCGTCTGTAGTAGTGGAGACAAGGTGCGGTTGATAATCCGATGAGCCTTAGCGATTTCCTTGGGTGTCTATCGGTTGCCTCTAGACGGGATCGGATCGGGTTTTAGCACGGGTAGAATGATCTGAGTTTGTCTAGGAAGCCAATCGACCTTCGGTTCAAGAATAGTGATGGTCTTAATATTCTTAGAGTTCACGGTAGACATATTGATAGCGTGAGATTAGAATGACCTGATAAGCTGTTAGAGTGCAATTTAGTAGACTTAAAATAGAGTGTAAAAGTATGTATTATTTCTGACCTCACCTTTGGTTTCATATCTAAGGTGTTTGTGTTAATGTTCAGCCGCTTGGGCTGGCCAGGGTAAAATCTCATATGGTCAGTATGAATACCCTTCTGCATAACACTTTATCACTTCGATGGTATTTTATTTCGACTTCTCTGCAACTATATCTCATGCTGATCACATGCTATCTCTCCGTATAGGCTGTGACTCATATAGGAACGCAGATATTTTTTGGATGTCGCGGTTGACAGACTTAATAGTTAATACTCTCTCGGGAGTCGGTCGAGAAACTTAATCTGCTCTCGGGAGTCGGTTAAATAATAATTCTACTCTCGGGAGTAACTTAAGCAACTTAATTAGCTCTCGGGAGTGAGTTAGCTCTGATGACCTCTATAAATCACTGGGCTGGTAAGAGGTCGCGACGTGTCGCCAAAAAAAGGATGTAAAAGACGGTCGCGACATGTCGTTTACTACTATGTCGGCCTACCTCTAGACGACATGTCGTCTTGCAAGTCGTCTACAGGTGTCCATACCAGTCCACTATATACGAGGCACAGGTGCACCTGCCCAGGTCCACTAGGACATATAGGACTAGTCCTAATAATTGGGGTGTAATTTTTTTTCAACTTTTTTTTTCCTGGGTCCTTCGTGACAGTGTCAGTTTGAACGATTTTCACATTTGACAAATAACAACTGACACCGTTACCGTTGGGCGTTGGAGTCTCACTGTCTCAGTGTCTCACGCACTCGGCAATGTAGTTTCAGACTCACACAGACTCACAAGTCACAACTGTACAATATCAAGTTAACAACAAAATAGACATAGTATACGCGTAAATTCGCCGTAAGCCCGTAATTAATTATATATTATTTATACATACATATATTGTATATATAATTTAATCTATAATCAAAATATGTATGATATATATTCTACAATCGATTATATATTATACATACATATATTGTAAAAAAGGCGATACTACTGCCTTAGAATAAATAAACGCGTAGGTAAATTCTATATATCGTGTAAATATCGATATAAGTAAACGAAATGAGACGTTTAATAAAGTCAGGTATGCCTCGTGAAATCAGCAATACTCTGAGGGGTTGTGAGACTGAGACATTGCCTATATATAGTCCTCTCAGTACTGTTTCCGCCGAAGGGATTTTATTTAGTGTTTCGTTGTCGCTCTATTCTGGGGCGAATCCGAGAGTCCCTAGACCTATATTCGGTTGAGCCATCTCGCTACCGAAGTATTCAGATATAAATAAAATTGGAAAGTAAATAAAGCTCTATTAATAGAACTAGACCAACTCTTTTATGTTTGGTATTTTACTGAGGCCTTTTAATGGCCTCATCCAAACATCTGATATGTTAAATGGAAAAGGTTTTATTAATAAAACCAATAAAACCCATTTTAGGAAACTTAAGTTCCTCGTGCTATTAAGAGCACATTTAGGAAACTTAAGTTCCTCGTACTATTAAGAGTACGTTTTTAATTTGCGTACTGCTTGAGAGTACGTTTATACTTAGAGTCTAATGTGGGATTACACAGCCCCCACCCAGCTTTGAGACCCAAGAGAAGCAAGTTGCTCTCTCAAGCTGATTATGGGTCAAAAAGCGAGAAAGGAATAACGGGTCGAAACATTAAGTAGCATAGCATATAGTTAATTTTTCTCAGGCGGAGAAGTTAATTGTTCTCGGTTACCCTGTGAGTTTTGGGCTTAGGTCTAGTAAGTCCGTGGTGGTCGACTGAACGTTCCTTACGCTTCAGTGTCTTAAGCATATATGAAGGATAAGCATTAAGGCTCGGGATAATTGCTGTAGGCGGATATGTTTTAATTTCCGTTCCTTCAGACGATGGAAACATGCTATCTTTTTTAGCTTGTGACTTATGCAGGCGTTTACGCCATTTTCGATTAAAGGCTTTTAAATAGTCTTGGTTATCAAAAGCATCTAAAGTCAACTCAGCTATTGTACCGTCTATAAAGTGTGTACGATAGTATGTATAGCCTCCCTTATCCGTTCTCCATATATTGTCTTTAAATTCAGAACGATCAAGAAGGGCATTAGAGTCATGTCTTCTTGCGAGTACAATCTCTGTAGTCGGAATACGACTTGTGCCTATATTAAGCGCTCTAGAACTATCGGGGTTATTTACCTCGTACGTTCCACTTTTAGTGTCTGCTACAGAGATTATGTATTGACCTATCCATTTAGATGTTAATACAGTAGTATCGGAATTACGTTGACGGATGTTAATTCTGTCACCAACCTGATACTCTGCTATCTTCTTGGTAGTGTTCCAACGCTTTTGCCTTTTTAATAAGGCTATATTGTGTATTTCTCGTAAGCAAGGATATACAACGTTATAAATACGCTGGACCTTCTCTAACCATGGTAACTCATGGTGATCGGGTTCGTCCTTGTTAAAAGGGATTTGTAACTCACTATATCTGCCACGAAAATAGTGAGCGGGTGTAGTTCCTGTAACCGGATCAGCACACTCGTTCATATGTGTTTGTACCCACTTAAGGTGGTACGGCCAATCATCTGCATCATCCGTTAATGCAGTACGCAAGAAGAACTTATGTCTTCTATGGTGCGTTTCATTCGCGCATTGCGTTTGCGGCTTATATGGCACACCTCTCTTATGGCATATGCCGATTCCATAACGTCATCGCAGAATTCACTACCGTTATCAGTGCACATAATACCCGGCCACCCGTGGTCAGCAAAAACTTGGCAACATAATTCTGCCACGGTCTGCGTATTCTTATCCTTTAATGGATACAGCAAGTTAAACCGTGACGCCACATCAAAGAAGTGGCATACGTAACGGTCGCCTGTA